ATGCCGATCGTCCTGGGGCGGATTTCCCCGCAGAAGTTCCCTCATTGGGGGAGTGCGCGCTCTTGGCGTCTTCCCTGGCGGGCCACTTGAAGTCCCCGCCTCAGGAGGGCGAGGGCGCTGAACACCGCTCGCGCGAGCAGCGCCGGAGCGGGCTCGCGCCCGAGCTGGTGAGAAGCTGGGGGCTCGACCGCGACGGACCATGCGGTTATCATGTTCGTCTTCATCGTCCATCGGCGACAGACTTGGATCGTCGTCATATGTCTTCTTTATGAAGGGTACACGACGCGGCGATTCCTTCGGAGTGCTCGCAGACCTATCTGACGCAACAGAAGTGTACTGAAATTCTTCCTTGTGTCCAAACTCATATTGAATGCGTTCAGAAAGGTCACCAGCGTCTCGCGGGCTCCCCCGCAATGAAATCATCATTGACCGATTCCATGTTTGTCGGATTCCCAATTGCCCGAGGATGGAGAGCACGGCATGAACTTCTTCATCTGTTGCAGGAATGGTAGACTCAGAGTCCGCGGGCACCCCCGCCATGCCGAAGTCATCTTCGACGGGCATGTGGAAGTTCTCGACGAACTCAATGTCTGCAGGTTGCCCCGCGATGGGTATACCCAGCCACTCTGCCAAGTCGTTGTCGTCGTGACCAGTGAACGCCTCTTCGGACAGCTCGTCGGCAGAATTCTCGAGGTTCATGCTGGCGCGCAAATACCTGGCAGCCGTGAAATGAATAACTGTGGCGGAGCCGTCAGCAGGGTCGGCCAGAAATGACCCCCAGTCGACGCGCTGTATGTCGGAGTCAGTTTGAGCCAAATGTATTGACGGACCCCTGCCTCTTCCATCGCCTTGGGGGCATTCGCGTCGGAAATGTCGTGTACTGTGGCATATGTAGCACTCCATAGTTTAACCGTTGGCATCCTTTGGAATCCCTCGTCGTCAATTACCTTCACCTGACGTACGCATGCGGTTCCTACCAGCACCTAAAAACATGTCTACATACTGAGGCCCAGTGGGAGATGATAGGAACGCTAGTATGCCTCTACCATGTAGTCGCCGACGCTTACCTTTGCCTGTATTTCGGCCCTTGCCTTTTCCTTTGGGTGTTCGCCGCGCCATGCGTCTTACCTTTCTGACTGGTTTCTTCATGAATCTCCGACGACGCTTGTTGTTGATAGCCCAAAAATAACCACTGAGCTTGCTGCTCTTCAGTGAGGTAGGTAGGCATAGAATAATCCAGCGTAGTAGTTTCATCATCAGAAGGCGCGTCGGTGTCGGCACCAGAGTCGAAGTCGGACTCGGCGGGTTGCCCCGCAGAGCCCATGAAGGTCATAGCTTGTACAGGGGAGACCGCGTCGGGTGGCCCCCTAGATCTGGCCCTGGGGTCTTGACACCCCGAGGCCGTGCCGCCATTCTGGGTCAACGATGTAGTGGTCTCAGACGGCGGCATATCATCGCCCCAGACGTTGTTAGCAGGTTGCCCTGCATTGGCCTCTGTATGGAAGGTCTCGGCTCGGTGACCGTGACTAAAAATACCACCGATATTGCCAGGGGTTCTCTCATCTATGTGAGCATATGACCTCATGCGTTCGAGGAGAGCGTCAAAATGTGCTTGGTCCCTCGGCATATGGTGTTTCAGAGGCTGCAGGAGCTGCTGCCGCGACGCCCCCACTCCCAGGGTTCTGAATAATATTACTGTTAATATCTGGAAGTTGGGGACGTTGAAGCTGGCGGCTTCTGCTTCGTAGCGGGCCATCTCGAACCGCGCTAACGACTGGTCGATCCGTTCTCCCGCATGGACACGAAAGCCAATGAGAGTTGTACCAGAGTTGAGTTGGCGTTCCTCTTCTAGGTTCTCGAACTTCGCACTTAAGAGGAAAATGACGTAAGTGGCGCCATCGGTGTGGCGACCATCTAAATTGACGCCAAAATTGACAACTGCTGGGGGAACACTCATGGGCATGGTCCGTCCGAGCCCTCCAAGACCGCGCTGAAGTGCGGCGGCCTGCTGGGGGGGGGTCTTGTTGCCTGCGGCCGCGTTGATCCAGGCGTGCACCTCGCGAACAAACTCGCGAAATGGTACTTGACCGGCAGGATCCCAATGGGGGCCGGTCGTCCTAGCGTCGTCTCCGCCCCGCAGATGTCCCACCGCGCATCCAAGAGCCACCCAGATGAGCCCAAGATAAGAACCCCAATCCAATGGCCTCGTAGGTCGTAATCGGGCGTAGTCGTTGGAGACTCGTGTTTTGTCGTCGTAAGTCTGCCAGGGGTCGGAGGCGGCAGCATATCGTATCGCATGCTTCCATGCAGTATATATATATATATATACGAAGAAATTTCCAATTGGAGAAGGTGGGTGGACTTCAGGAGTGCGACAGCGCAGGGATGTATAATAGGAGCGAGAGGCCTTCGCTGAAGAAGAGGTGTCGCTGCAAGCTTCCTTGCGCTACTGCGTATATATGTACACTCCTCCGCGCAATGCCACTGCACCCTGATGTTCCATAGTCCACCAGATAGCGCCGTGGATGGTGAGGAATAGAGCTAGAGCTGACCACCATAGGCCCGCTCCGCTACCAAGTTTGAAAGGGGGCTGGGAGGCCCCGCCAACAGCTTCGCCTCAGGCAAAGCCAAGCTCCAGCTCGGTTGCATCGTAGTAGCGATAGTCCCAATGCAAGAGGGGAAGCCATGTCAAGTAAAAGGGGATGCCTTTTAGTATCGATAGCGATAGTGTGCCTCGCGGTGAGGCACAGTCAGATTTAGGTGGCCGGCCGCTTCAGCCAAGACGGCCGCGGGCGCGCGCTCGCTTCCGCTCCTTGCGTCCCTCAGCTCACTTTAGAGTCCAAGACGGCCAACATGGCCTCCAAGACGGCCAAGATGGCCTCAAGACGCCTCCAAGACGGCCCAAGATGCACCCAAGACGGCCTAAGACAGCGTCAAGATGGCCCAACACAGTCTAATAGGCCCCCAGGAGACCTCCAAGAAAGCCCAAGACGGCCCAAGAGGCCTCCAAGAGGTCCTCCAGGAGGGCCCGGAAAAGCCAAAATCATTGGTTTGCCTCAAGTTTTGGACAGATTTTGGCATTTGTTTCTCCTCGGCATTCCGACGGCTCAAGACGGCCCAAGAGGCCCCAAATATCGCCCCAAGATCGCTCACAAGGCCTCCAAGATGGCCCCATTACGGCCCAAGAGGCCCCCAAAACGGCCCCAAGACGCCCAAGATGGCCTCCGAGACGTCCACGATGGCCTCCAAGACGGCTAAGATGGCCCCAAGACGCCTCCAAGACGGCTCAATATGCACCCATGACGGCCTAAGATAGCCTCAAGATGGCCCACGACAACCTAAGAGGCCCCGATGAGGCCTCCAAGACGGCCCAAGAGGCCTCCAAGAGGTCCCCCAGGAGGGCCCGAAGAGGCCAAAATCATTGGTGTTCCTTAAGTGTTCGAAGGATGTTGGCATCTGTTTCTTTCGGCATTCCGACGGCCCACGACGGCCCCAGGAAGGCCCCCCATGTCGCCCGCGGCCCCACGACGGCCCAAGAGACCCCCAAGACGACCCCAAGAGGGCCCAAGGGGCCTCCAAGACGGCTAAAATGTCCTCCGAGACGGCCGATGGCCCCAATATGCCTCCAAGACGGCCCAATATGCAACCAAGACGGCCTAAGATGGCCTCCAGATGGCTCAAGACGGCCCAAGAGGCCCCCCATATTGCCGGTCCCTTTTGCTTAGGCCAGAATGATGTTTGCATGACTGAGCGGCTTCCAGCTTGCAAGCGACCCGAGGAGCCATGCCCCGCCCTTTCTTGTTAAAACTAGGTGCAATGAAAACAAGACAGAAGAGGGAGGCAGGAGGGGAAAGGGAGGTGAGAGGCTTGGGCCAGCACGGCAGCGGACAGAGCACATGCTATCCTGGGCTCTTCCCTGCATCCTGCCGCGCAGCGGCCGAGACTGTTGGACAGGCAATCACGTTCACAGAGCTAGACATGCCGGTCCCTTTTGCTTAGGCCAGAAAGATGTTTGCATGGCTGAGCGGCTTCCAGCTTGCAAGCGACCCGAGGAGCCATGCTCCGCCCGATCCCATACTGTGCCCTGGAGGCCGCATGCTTCAACAATCTGCCAGGCGCCGTAGGCGCAGCTCTCGCAGCTTTTCGACGCTCAAAGTGAGCCAGCGGGCCATCTGATGGCACAGCCTGCTGGGGCATTCTTCTGCGATGCGGCTTCGCCGCACGCCTCTCGGGCCAGGCCCTTGCAAAATGAGGCGCGGACGGCCTGTTGCGGAGCATGCGCCGCGTGTGCTCTGACAGCGGGCGCGCAGTTGAGAGGGGGGAACTACGCAATTCCAGGATCGTAGTCTAGTGGGCTTTCTCCGCGCAGTTCCGAATTGACACGTATCGAAGATGGCGCCCCGGCAGCATGGATGTGCAGAGAGCTGGCGCATAACTGGTTCCTGCCAGGCGCAGCTACTGAGTGGGATCTCACACGCGATAGGCACACCATGATGGATGCACGCACGGATGACCATCTGAGCGACAATAAGGGTTGCGTTTCCTACTATAAGGCGCTGCAGCGCCGCACCCTCGAGGTGAGAGGAATTATATATATACGTATATATATATATATGTATACATATATGATAGACATTGTGCGAGGCCTGCGACCAAGTTGAGCAAGGGCAAGCGGCGGCGACAGCGAGCGCGCGGCGGCTGGCGATCCATCCCACGACGGTCTGTCCGACCACCTTCGAGGATAGATCGAAAAACTCTGAGTGCTTGAGATCCATCTCAAGGCATGCACCGTGCAAACGCCTGATGGCGCGGGCCACGCCGCCTGCGCCTGAAAAAAGATCAAGATAACACGAGGCTCGGTCGCCCAGCTCCTGGCGCAACGCCTCGCTCAGTCCCGCTCGGACTGCGGCTGCTGTCGGCGGCCTGCTCCGCACGAGCGCGTCGCCCAGTCGCTGCAGGCGCCCCGCCTTCAGCGCCCCGTTGCGGCTCGGTCGCGCGGCGGCAGCAGCGCCGCGCGGCTGTCGCCCAACGACCGCTTCTGGTACAGCGCGTCGTCGTCGATCGCCCCCTGCCTCACCTGGTACAGTTGTCGGGCTGGCCGACCGATCACGGCGGCCGCTCGACTGAACCCCTCCCTGAACTTCGCCGCCGTGAACGCCCGCAGGCTGGCGGCGTACCCTGCCGCTCTTTTCGGCAGCCCGAGCTGGAAATCGGTGCCCTTTGTGAAGACCCCGTCGAGCAGCAGCCCCACGTCCTTGCGTCCAGCCTTGCTCCGGCCGTCGGCCTTGGCGGTGCGCATCAGCAGGGCCCAGTTCTGAACTCCGAAGCCTGGCGGGGGCCGGACGAACGACCGGCCCTGCCGGCTCATGCTGTCGCATGGCAGCCGCCGCCCTCCGTCCCCCGCAAGCACCAGGCTGATCCCGAGGGCTACCCCCATCGCGACGACAAGCTCCCAGCAGCGCAGCCAGCCTGCCCCGGCCTGCCCAGGCGCCAGGCGGCGGAAGCCCAGGAGGGCAGCGAGGGCCCGAGCAGGATCCCTCGCGCCGCCGCGCCTGAACTTCAGCTCCTCGAACGCCAAGCCTGCCGGCAGGCTGTCGTCCCGCTCGTGGTTGTAGCCGTCGGAGTGCAGTCCAGGTACTCCACGAGCGTCTCGTCGAGCATCGACCTCGAGCTCACGCCCCTGCGCAGCTCAAGGCGCCCGGCCCTGAACGCCCCCGCCTCGGGGCTCAGCGAGTCGCGGCCCTGGCCCGTCACGCGCCTGCTGTCCGAGAAGCTCTGCGAGCGGCGGCTGTCGGGCAGCCTGGGGGGCGCCGCGAGCGCCGCCGCGGGGCGGCGGCGGGTGGCCTGGCAGCTGATCCGCCTGGCCACCCCTGCCTGCGGCGCCGTCAGCTGCCCGCCCCGCGCCGGCAAGGGCGCCCACGTCTGGCGCCATCGCGTCGCTCTCGGGGTCGTAGGAGTCGTTGGCCTCGCTGCCGTCAGAGACCTCGTCTGAACTTGAACTACTCTCGTCCTCTTGAGCTGGGCAGCCTTGCCAGGCTGCAAGCTCACGGGCGCTGGGCTCCCCGTTCAGCGCGTCACCCCCGGCTGCCGCTTCAGCGCGCAGGCGCGCCGCGCCGCCGGGCAGCGGGTCGTCCAGGAGGGTGCCCCCCAGGCCCGCCACGCCCGCCAGCGGCCGCCCCAGCCCGACGAGCTCGCCACACAGGAGCGCCTCGTCCACCGCCGCGGCCAGCGCAGTCTGCGCATCGCCCTGCGGTGCCACTGCGGGGACGAAGCAAGCGCTGCGAGGTTGCGCCCGCGGATCTCGAGCCACGGCGCCAGCCATGCGAGAGGGTCGATCTGCCGGGTTGAGCTCCGAAGGGATCCACCGAACGGGGACCGACATGTCCCCGAATATGCTTAGCGCGGCAGCCTCGCGGCATGTCTTGTTCACGCGGGGAGCGGCCGCCCGGCCCTTCCCAAGGGCCAGCGCGAGGCCCAGGTTGTCGCACAGCACGGGCAGCTTGCGCCCGCGACGAGAGGCCACCCGAAGATGATGCCGAATGCCGATGACGACCCCGTGCCCTTCAAGACGGATTATGTTCTCGGCTCTGCTGAACCTGCCCTTGACCCGGAGCTGCCACGACTCGAGAGGGCCGACGTGTTCCGAGGTGATCTGCTCGAATGAGGCGGTCCCCGAGTACATGCCCCCGAACGTCCGCTCGAACTCCGAGACGGGAGGCCGGGTCCTCGCCAGAGGTGTAGACTTGGCCGCACCGCAAGACTCGCGGCTGCACACACTCGGATTTCTGTCGGCCCCCACGCGCGGCGGAAGGCGATCGGCGGCGCGCAGGCGCTCCGAAAGCCCGAGGGCGCGCGCCCGAGCCGCAGCCGCCTCTGACACGCGGCAACGCCACCGCTCTGCCTGCGAGCACGCCCGGCCGACGTCATGCGGGCCCCAGGCGCGGCTCACCACGCCAAACCCTCCCGCGTCGGCGCCCGTCGCCCCGCAAGCGTCGGTCGCCAGCGCCACGGGGTCGGACCCGCGGCGGCAGTCCACGTAGCTGAACGCGACGAGCGCGGCGGCGATGCGGAGCCCGGCCTCCGCGGCGCTCCGCGAGCGGCGCCGGCGCCCACCGGCCCAGGGCGCGAAACGGTAGGTCGCCGCGAAGATCGACAGCAGCTCGCGGCGCACCAGCGCACCCCAAGTGAAGTGGCCGAGGAGCACCCACATCTCGTCGCCAGTGGCCGACCCGCGGTCGGCAACGTGCAGCAAGCTCAGGCGGATGCGCCACATCCGCCGTCGACTGAGCCCGACGCGGCCCTCGCCTCGTCGAACACCAGGCCCGTGAAGGTGGCCTCCGCGCACGGGCCCTCCAGCCCCTTGCATCTCAGGCCGACCGCCTCCAGCGACTCTCGCGTCCGCTGCGCCGTCGTCATGGTCTCCGTCCGCGTAGTCGAGACCGACGACGGCGGCCCCGTCGACGTAGACTGCCGCGGCGGGCCCCTCCTCGAGCGAAGGGGCAGGGCGCCGATCGCGGGCCAGCCGCCCCCGCGCCAACCCGCTGCGGAGGACCTGCGTCTCCGCCATCTGCTGGCAGAAGAAGAGACTCCAGTTCCAGCCCATGGCCAAGGCGACCAGCCGCGGCGACGCCTCCCGCCAAGCCGGCAGCCGGGCGGACAGGTCGGGCCGCTCGGCCCGCAGCACGTCGAGGTCGACCGCGGGAAGCACGAAATAGTCGCGAAGCCCGGGCGGCGTGGCGACCCTGTAGAACGCGTTGTCCACGTCCATCTGGGCCAGGTGGAGGGACTTCCCCTCCGGCACGGCCAAGCTGCTCCAAGCCCCCGCCGTCGGGAGCTCAGAATGCGCAGGAGGACGAAACCGCATATTCGCCACCCGCGTGTCCGCCATCATGCGGAGGGACCGCTTGTCGCTCTTGAAAACGAAGAAGATGCCCACCGTTGCCTCGGTCCGCTCGCCGAGGTCGATCAGGCCCCTGGAGTGCAGCTCCGCCACCAAGCGAACGTACGTCTTCTTGCAATGCACGAATTTCGGATCGGAGAAAGGGCGAAGGCGAGGTCCGTCAGGTGGCCCCCCCTCGCGTAGAAGATGCTTCTGCCATCCTACCCACAGCTCGAGAGCACGACCAGTCAAGCAGTCAGCGCCAAAGCGCTGGCCGCCCATGGTCGGCAGGGAGACCAGCCCTTCGGAGGAAGAGGCTCGGCGCACGGTGTCTTCTGCATAACCCGGCAGGTGTGAGCACAGCTCGGCGCGAGCTGCCGCTCCTGAAAAAGGGGGGTGGGGGGGGGGGGGGGGGGCCCTAAATGATCACGCGGATGTGGTCAACGCCCGCGCGTTGAGCACACGAAACCGGAAGCTCCTGGCGTGGAACTCCATGTCCGTACAATGAATTGGTAGCGTGCAAAGCCTCTGAGAGCCACCGCTCAGCGTGCAGGCGCTGCCGAGCTCGAGAGCGCACCGCCCGACATCCCCTGCTGTCCCAGGCATGGCCGGGCGCGGGCACAGGGCACGGCAGCAGCTCTCGAGCGACCACCATGAGCTATCGCCCCATGGCCCCGCCGGCGTCTGGTTTGCTGGTCTGGGGGCCTTCCAGCTCTGCCTGAAGCTTGCTGGTCTCCGCCGCATGCGCTGCCATTTCGTTCTGCAGCGCCTTGTTGCCGTCGCTGACAGAGCTCTGGCCGCGCGACGGCGCCCCCTCCTTGCGAAGCTCCCGCTTCTCCTTCATGGGCGCCCCCCCCGCGGGGAGTGCCGCCAATATGTGCTCCACGAACGTCGGGCGCGCCATCAGCGCGCTCCTCGTATCCAAATCCCCCATGCACAGGTACTTACTCGCCAGGTACTCGTCGCCGCTGCTCTTCAGCGGCCACTCTTGGTAGCGCCGCTCCGCGAGCTGGGCGCGGCGCACCACCTCCACCAGCGGCCGCGGGGCCAGGCGGAGCTGGTCGACGCCCGCGCCGAGCTCCAGCACCCCCCCCGCCAGCCCGTAGCTCAGCACGTTGCCGTCGCCCGGCCCGAGCCCGCACTCCGCGCCCCACTGGATGTAGCGGGTCCGCCAAGGCGAGTCCTGCTCCGAGAAGAAGCGGACGCACCACCGCTCGGTGCGCGGCCCCCTGCCTGGCCATCCCGACCATGCTGTCCTTGCCATGCCGCACGCCGCATCCGTGGACACCCCGCCCTTCGCGCCGTCGAGCCCGTGCGCGATCGGCATCGCGCGGCCGTGCATCGAGCTCCCAGCCTCCTTCTCCGTCACCGCCATCACTGAGTAGCACTTCCCCCTCGCCTTAACGAGGGCCAGTCCTCCGCTCATAGCGTACCACTCGCAACGCCCGAGGTCGGCGAGCACGCACTCATCGCTGTCGTCATTGCTAGCCGTGATGAGCCAGCGCTGGTTGCCCACTGGGGGCACCCTTCCCGAACCGTGCTCGCGGCCCTCAGGCGGAGTCGCTGTCCCACCCCGCGCCGTCAGGCCCTCGGGCCTCGGTGACAGCGCTGTCGCCCCCTCCTCCCCCAGCGCCGCAGCGCCACGGGACTCGAAATCGCAGTCCTCGTCGGGGGAGACTGCCATCCACACTGGACAAGTCGGACTCGTCGGAGGCGTCTCGAGGTCGCGCCCGTACTCGGCGGCGTCGGAAAAATGCAGCAGAAGACGTACCTGGTAGTCCCCCCGCGGCCGCCACTGCACCAGAGCGCAGGCTCCGTCCCGCGGCACCAGCGCCGTGCCAGGCAGCGCTGCCCGCCAGCGTGCGCACCGAGCAGCCGAACAGCCCACCAGCGTGCCTATGCTGAAGACCAGCAGGAGGAGCGACCGCGCGCCCCTGAACTGGTCCGCCGCCGCCGCCAGCTGGCCAGCCTCCGCCGCCGCGTTGGCGAGGTCTCGAGCCCAGTCAACCGCCAATTGCCCTGCCGCGAGGAAACCTGACTGGGTGACAAAACTTGGAAGCATGCGGCCGCCGCTCCCTGAAAGGCTTGGGCCAGCACGGCAGCGGACAGAGCACATGCTATCCTGGGCTCTTCCCTGCATCCTGCCGTACAGCGGCCGAGACTGTTGGACAGGCAATCACGTTCACAGAGCTAGGCAGCCTCCAAGACGGCCCCAAAGACGTCCAGGAGGTCTTTCAGGAGGGCACCACGAGGCCACAAAATAATTGATTGTTCTTAGGTGTTTGACAGTTGTTGGCGTGTGCGTTTTCTGCCATTCCGACGCCTAAAGACGGCGCACAAAGCCCCCAAGATCGTCCAAGAGGCCTCCAAGATGGCCCCATGCGCGTCCAAAGTGCTCCCAAGACGGCCCCAAATGGCCTAAGAGGCCTCCAAGACGCCCAAGGTGGCCTCGAAAAAACCATGATATGCCCTCAGAAGGCTCCAAGACGACCCAGAGAGGTCCCCAAGACGGCTTCCGACAGCGTCAGCCAAGCCTGGGACGCTATAAGACGGCCAAAGAGGCCCCCAAGAAAGCAGCCAAAGGCCCCCCAACGCCCTCCAGGAGGCCCCCAGGAAGCTCCCAGGAGGCTCCAAGAGTGCCCGAAGAGGCGTTCAAGAGGCATCCTCCTCCTCCTCCTCCTCCTCCTCCTCCTCCTCCTCCTCCTCCGTTTTTCATCATCCTCCCCCTCCTCCTCTTCTTGCTCCCCCATGCGTTCCCCAAAGTCTTTCCAAACCGACTCGGGGAAAGACTGGCCCGATAGCTTGGCCAAACTCTGGCTCAGCTGTCGGCCACAGAGGCGCTTCCAGAGGGGCAGGGGGCGGCGGTGATTCGCCGTAGGCGTCTTCGATCATCATCAGCAGCAGCAGCACCATCATTGACACTGACATCGCTATCACCATCACCAGCACCATTACTAGCACCATCGTTATCACCGCCATCACCATACCATCACTCTCCTCCTACTCCCTCGCCTCCTCCTCCTCCTCCTCCTCCTCCTCCTCATCATCATCATCATCATCATCATCATCCTTGGTGGGTGGGGGGATCCTCGTCGAGCGGCTCCACTGCCCCGAGCTCGCCAGCGGGGGGCTCGTGAACCACCACGCTGCACTGGGGCGGGAAGGGGGGGGCAGCGCGACCCCCCACCCAGCCTCATCCCAACGAGCGGAGGGGAGGAGTGGAACGGGGGCGTCCCCTCCTCCTCCTCCTCCTCCTCCTCCTCCTCCTCCTCCACCCCTCCTCCTCCTCCTCCTCCTCCTCTTCCTCCTCCTCCCCATCATCGTCGTCATCATCATCATCATCATCATCATCATCATCATCATCATCATCATCATCATCATCATCAACATTCTCCTCCGTGCACTCCTTACCCTCATCTCGTACCCTTCTTCCTTACCCTCCTCGCTACCCTCCTGGTACTCCTCCTCCACTTCCTCCTCATCCTCATCCTTACCTCCATAGTCCTCATCAACCTCCTCCTCCTCAACTTCCTTCTCCTCCTCCTCTTCCTCCTCCTCCTCCTCCCCTTCCTCCTCAATTCCTTCCTCATACATGACGTATCCCTGTCGCACCCCGAAGCCAGTTGCCTGGGCGGGCCGGGCCATGCGCCTGAGACTCCTCACCACTTATGAAAAAGAAGCTTAAAAAGTGACAGCAGTTTCACGAATGGAAGGCGGGTGGTTTTCAAAATGTGGCTCTCGCCGCAGCGCCGCGCATACTCGTTTTTTAAAGGTGCAAGAGTTTCACGGGTTGAGGGCGGGTGGTTTTCAAAATGTGGCTTTCGCCTTAGCGCCGCGCACATTCATTGTAAACATTTGCAAGAACTTCACGGATTGAGGGCGGGTGGTTTTCAGAATGTGGCTCTCGCCTTAGCGCCGCGCACAATCGTTTTCAACATTCGCAAGAGCTTCACGTATTGAGGGCGGCTTCTTTCAGAATGTGGCTCTCGCCCTGGCGCCGCGCACATTCGTTCTAATGATGTGCAAGAGCTTCACGGATTGAGGGTGGGTGGTTTTCAAATTGTGGCTCTCGCCATTGCGCCGCGCACATTCGTTTGAAAACTTCCAAGAGCTTCGCAGATTGAAAGCGGGTGGTTTTCAAAATGTGGCTCTCGCCTTAGCGCCACGTGCATCCGTTCCTTAACAAATCCGCCGGCCCCCTTGTGGGGCCACCAGGCTGTATGACCGTGATTCGCAGTTTCCTGTACCAGTTGTAGTTTGTAGTTTCCAGTGTTACAATTCTGCTTCTTGCTGGTTACTGTAACTAGTTGACTTCTTGCTGGTTACTGTAACTAGTTGATTGACCGCGCGAGGGGGGGGGAGGCCCAAACAAGACTTTTAGCGTCCCCTGGGCGCGTTGTCTGAATTGCTGGGTGGGCTCGAAATCGACACCCCTCACGCAGATCCGCGGGGTCAGGGTCCAAAAACACAAGGGATTTGCCAACATTTCTGAAATTCGGTGCCACCCCTCACGCAGATCCGCGGGGTCAGGGTCCAAAAACACAGGGGATTTGCCACATTTCTGAAATTCGGTGCCACCCCTCACGCAGATCCGCGGGGTCAGGGTCCAAAAACACAGGGG